TTTAGATGTTCGTTTTCCCCATAGATGTGATATATATTCCTTACTGTTTGTCATAAATTCTAAGACGGTCGGTGGTAGCCAGCGGTTTCAAGGCTTGGTATATCTCATTGTACGGTTGAGGCAAGTCTGCTATGCTAATGTCAAGTCCGGAAAACGTTCAAACTGCCATCCCAAATGAAAGCATAAACAAATATAACGCTGGAGACGAACAGTTAAATGTCCTTAGGCGAGCCAGTTGATATGCGTACAGTAAAAGTTTAAGCCCCCTAGTGCTTCTTTGAGTATTGCTGTTTTTCCACTTAACTATAACTGTTTTTCTCAGCACAGTTCAGCTGGAAGACATTCAGGCGTTTAGGTCTACATTGTTACGGAACATCCTAAAGTCCTCTGAAATAATCACGATGAGAATTTTAGATTTGTGGTCCATGCTGTAGATACAGAGTAACAAGTGATAACCCATGTTATGATCGTAACGTGTTTCCCATAAGCTGGGTTTTTTTATTGGTCAAAATTTATGTAAATTTTTGCATTCTTCAGTGTTTCGTTTTTTGTAGGATTGTACTGAATTCGTAAACTTGTTGAACAGTACGGAAACTTGGCTGTATGACGAAGGCGACGATCTGAGCAAAGAAGTGTATCAGGAGAAACTGAGGCAGCTAAAGGTAATGATTTTAGTTAAGCACATTAGAATGTTTTGTTCTTTAACAGTTTGTCATACTGAAAACAGCAGGAAATGGTTTAATGGTATATATCAGGTAACTGATCCATACCTATCCGAAATACCAATACACATAAACCATAGACATCTCTGTATAGTAATAAACAGTTTCGTGCTGTTTTTGAGTTTTAGTAAGCATTAATCGCTTTAGTAACTTAACTTATGATACACCTGCCTTTCCAAACAAAAACATACGTTTATTGTCGTAGAATATCGGTGATCCGGTGATCGAACGTTACCGCGAATATACGGAAAGGCCTGCGGCGTTTCAGCGGCTGAACGAGATGCTAAATACGGCAAAGAACGCCTTCTCAGCATACATGTCCAAGGTAAGCTAGCATCTTGTTGATCATAGGTTGGCCACGGCGTGCGATTTTGTCTTTGGCCAATTGTTGTAGAACGAGAAGTACAGTCACTGGGAGCCGAGCGACGCAGAAAAGCTGCGCAAGGCGATCGACGAGAAAGAACGCTGGTACCAGCAGCAAATGGCGGCGCAGTCGCGCAGGGCGCTAACAGAACCGCCGGCAGTCTTCGTACACCAGATCGTGCTGGAAGCACAGGTATTCAATAGGACCGGTATCTCGTGGTTATGAGACACGTCTGTTTAGATGTTCGAAAGCGTCGTCGGGCCGATTTTGAATAAGCCGAAGCCTACGCCAAAGAAAAAGAAAGAATCGGCGCCTAATGAAAAGAAAGAGTCGGCCAAAGAGGCGTCTCCGGAATCGAAAGCACCTACCGCAGGGGAACAGCAAGTACCGTCAGAACCAGTACCAAAAGTCGAAGAAGTTGACTAAGAGGAGGATGGTGAAGATTTTAGCCGGTCGCGTAACTGCTTTCGAAAACTGTCGCTGCAGCAGATGAACTTTAGCGCTCCAGAAGACATGATAAATGGTGTAAGTCTTGCGACATTCTTTAATTTCTAAATGGTAAGATGATAAGATCAACGATGTGACGTCTGTCGTCACATCACTTGGTTTGTTGCAGCAGTATGGACAAATTCAAGCCCGTTTTGTTTATGTTCTTTGTCATTGTGCTAGCCATTCTTTAACCAGATCGTTATAAATGTTACGTAATTCATAAACATCGTCCGTTGGTTGTCTGCTGTAGCTGTTCATTCAATAAACCCGTCATTGTCGAAAACGTCTTTTTCCGTCGGTGTTCTTGTGAGTAAATTTGGTTATCGTCATATTTTAGGGTTGATCCTGGCACATGCAATACTTAGTAGTCTCAAACATTCATATACATATTCATATTAGTAGAGTGCTTGTGTAACAGTCTAACTATACAATGCGTCTAAAACAGTCTATCGTTGGATAGACTACTCCTATGGTATCGACGCGTAATTTACGGGCGTTCTTATACTTAAAGTTGGCGGTTGCTGGTTCCTTTACATTTAGAGAGTATATGTAAATAACTACGCAGGATCACTGAGCAGTGCCGACTGTTCCAGCAGCGTTTCTTTCAAGGTGACTTTAAAGCAGCATTTGATTCACTACACCGTCAACGGAAATCTTGAAATGCTATGGCGTGCAGTACACATCGTTTCCATGTTGGGATAAATATAAAAGAAGCACATCGACTATATTAAAGGGTTAGTCTAATGATCAACATTGATAAAAATGAGAAAACTCACGCTAAAATTGTTGTTTACTTGTGAAGAAAACTCGTACACCTTCAAAATGGTAAAAATCATACAGTGTCGGCTTTTTCGATAGTGAAATGAACAACAAAACGCTGCTCCTGTGTACAGAATGAAATTAGCAACGCAGTCAGCACGTACTGACAGCACCTTGAAATCAATTCAACAAACGAAATGAAACCAGCACTCAGACGCACACGCTGATCTAAGAGAGTACGATTATGTGAACAACGATGATCTAAGAATGAACGATGATGTAACTGCTTCTTTCTCCTCGTGTTGCCCGCTATGAAGCAGAACAAGTTAAACTATGTACAGCACGCGGGCAGAGGACAGCACGAGTCCGCTGCAAAAAAGAAACAACGTACGACCGCCTTGAACAGAATAAGCCGGAAGCGAAGTGTTCACGCTGTTCGGGAGTGTCGTTTTGAACTGTGTACTCACTTTGTCGCATGCCTGAAAGAAGTAGTTGCTTTTTCAAGCGGCTACGTGTACAAACAGAAACGACGGTTACCAATCTTCCACGTTCTTGAGCACGGTTGAGGCTAAAGACTTCATTTGGTCGTTCGAACGAGGATCCTCTATCAACCGATGGATCGATTCAAGTCCACCTTCGTCGACGACGAACCGACAGTACTTTGCAGCTATAAAGGAATAAAGCAAGTACAGAAATTCCAAACGCTCACATTACCAAAAAAAATCACGTGGCGCAGAGTTGATCTATGTTTTAAAATCATTGGATATCGCCATAGGCACACAGCAAACGTTAAATACGATAAAGCTTACCGAAATTGTTAGTATTTTGTTTGAAGCACAAATCGCAGCATCACAGGCCAGGAAGGGGTTACACACTAAACTTCCAAGTGTGCATGCACATTCAATTAAATTAAGCCCATTAATCGGTCAATATATGCTAACATACTACGCTTCAGGGGTATGTCGTTTCAAGAAAGCAGTCAGAAATGAAATGAATCAGAAAAGCGGCAAAGGAAGGATAAGAGAAACAGTCACAGAAAACAGAAACTTTTTAGATCTATCGGAAATATAAGCACGAAAAGTTTCATGAGAACGATGATGCCGTATTGCAGGAAAGTTGAGTTAGGGATAAAACGACTGACCCATAAAACCTAAGTATCTGAGAATTAAAGTATATAAACATTCACAGAAATTGACAACGTTATGTTTCACGAAAGTACAATTAGGGATCAAACCAAACGAACCGGATCTCAAAAGAAATGAATATACAGAAGTCAGATTAACCGACACGTGTATGAAAAGAATCAACGACCTACTAAATGTTTAATTCGCTTAACATGCTTGTGTCTAACCTAAAGATACTACATAATGGTTTGTGAGGGCAACAAGTCAAACTCAATGTAAGAGACTGAACAAGTCACTGCCTACCACAGTTTTCGCACAGATCAACTCTATTTCGCCTTAAACCTATAATTATTATTTAAATGATCCCTGCACAAGGGGGCTAAACGACTTTGTCACGTCTTCCGGTGTAATTAGTAATTTCCTATGGCAATATCGTTATGCGGTAAACCAACTCTCCTTAATTTAAAACGATATATTAGAGCCCATTAAACGAACGGTCTCAGTGAGAAGTGACAACTGTTGAAAAAATGTAAACGAATAGTCTAATAACATTTCAATTCTGATATATTTGCTAAACGTAAAACTTCGACTGCTGCCTCAAGTCGTCTATGGAGCCCATCTGAGCAGGCCAGGGGTCCATGGTAATTAAGCAATTGCAGTGGGTCAGACGTAAGACCGCAGCTATCAATTGGTTGAACGAGGATGCACTGGGTCTGCCAAATCGGT